TTACAGAGAGAGTGGTGAGGTGCTGGAACAGCTGCCCAGAGAGGCTGTGATGCCCCATCCATCCCTGGAGGTGTTCAAGACCAGGTTGGATGGGGCCCTGGGCAGCCTGGGCTGCTGTGAAATGTGGAGGTAGGTGGCCCTGCCTGTGGCAGAGGGTTGGAGATTCGTGATCCTTGAGGTCCCTTCCAACCCTGGCCATTCTGTGAATCTGTGATTCTGTGTGGTAAGGGAAGGGGCAGAGCATTGCCCACAGGTCATCTCAGCTGAATGCCAGCCACAGTGCTGACCAAAACACACGGCACCTCCTGCAGAACGCAGGACACGTGCCAACACTGCTTTGTCTTCCTTCCTGGGGAGGGACACCTCGCTCTCAAAGCAGCGAGGGAAGCAAAACCTGGCTGTACTTCATGAGCTTGTATGTGAGGCCAACACGTGGCTGACAGCACCATCTCCATGGGGGTTCCCAAGCACAGCTTTGCAGTTTCTGAGGCCTTTGGCTTTCATGAGACAGGCACTTAAGAGTCTGGCAAGCCAGGTGGGCACAAGAGGAGCCTGGGGCTGTCCTGGTGGCTTCTGCTGTCCTCCTCTAGGAAGACTGATGAGGAGGCAGGAACCAGAAACCAGAACAGCAATGTTTGCTCTGTGCCTTCTGCACTGCCTTACTGCAGGCTTGCGCTCCATTTTGCTCAGCAGAGAACAAACACACTGATCTCCGTCCTGCAGGCGGCGAGGCTCAGGGCACTCAGCAGCAGTGACACAAGCCAGACCCATCCCCACGGCCATTCTTTTTGCTACACAACCAGCTGCAGCACGCAGGCTGGACTGCTCACCCCACAGACAGCACAGGATCGTGGCTGTGCCCACCCATGGCCCTCAGCAGACTTACCGTGCTTCTGGCTCAGCCTGGAGCTTGGTGTTGGGAGCTGCTGCAGCCACCTGCCCCCTCCAGCGCACTGGGACCCTCAGCTGCCTGCCGCCCGCCACCACTGTGGAGAGAGAATGGTACGTCAGTGAGCTCAGCCCGGCGGAACACAGGAGCTCAGTCAGGAGCCGGGGAGATGGGGAAACCAGCAGGTGAGGCCCGAAGCATTCAGCACTGCGGTGTCCAGTAACACAGCCCAGCACCTGTTGTGCTGTTGTGCACAACGTGCAGCTCCCGGCCAGCGCTCCTCAATGCCAACGCTGCCCATTGCGTGCACCGCTCCCCACCTGCTGCTCACAGCGCCGTTTCCAAACGTTTTTTGTCATCCCAAGGCACATTTTTTGTAAGAGTTGTACCCGTGCGGATCTCCCACAGCGGGAACAACGCCACGTCCCGAGCTGCCGCCCGCTACCCCCCTGATCCTCCTCAGCAATGCCCCCCGCAACGTCCCCTGCGACGCGCCTCTGACAGCACCGAGCCGCGCACTGCCCGGACCGCAGCGCGGCGGGGCGGCTCCTGCCCGGCACCGCTCGTGGCCGCGGAGGGCGGCGCTGTCAGCGCGGTGTCGACGGGCGCCGAGTGGCGCCAGGAGCCGAGCTCAGGTCCGAACCGTCTGAGCGTTAAATTCCCGATATCGAAAACATCGCCCAGCTCCACGCGGTCGGTTTGAAACACCGCCTCGAGTTCCTTCCAGAGATGACAAAGCACAAAGCCCCATTCACGGGACGGGCGGCGATGCGGCCGCGCTCAGACGGCGCTCCGGAGCCCGAGGAGCGCCCGCGCCTCTCGGCGCCGGCCGCGAGACCCACGCGCGGAGTGCCCGGCCCGGGCTGCGGCGCGGGGCGCGCGGGGGCTCGGAGCGCGGCGGCCCGGGGACGCGGCCGACGCCGTTACGCAAAGGCTCCTCCGTTGTGTAACGCGCCGCGGCCGCCCGCCCCGCCGCCTCCCGGCCCCGCACGCCGCGCTCCGCGGCCGGGATCGCGCCGCCCGCCGCGCTCCGTCCCGCCGCGCTCCGCCGCCCCCGGGCCGCCCGCGCCGCACTCACGGGGTCGCGCCGCCCGGCCGGCAGCAGCCATGTTTGCGGCCGCGTGCATTCCCTCAGACGGCCCCGCCGGCCGCCGCCGGCCGCTCCGCCCAGCCCCGCCCGCCCACCCGCGGGCACGGCGCACGCCCGCCGCAGCGGGGGCCGCCCCCAGAGCCGCCCCGGGGCTCCGCTCCGCGCGCGGGGCCGGAGTGATGCTCGGTGCCGCACGGCGGCTGCGCTCGTGGGAAGCGATTTCCGCGTCGCCGCTCCCGGGAAAAGCCGGCGTTCTCAGTCGGCGAAACGAATTCCCCCAACGCGCCGAGCGCTGCAACCCAGGCCCGTAATGCAGAGCTTTAACGCTTCTCTTCTGTCCCTCGCAGAACCCCGCAGCTCGGGTCCGACTTCGGCGAGAACAAAGGAACGCGACGGTGATCTCAGAGCTGCGAGTGCGTGAGGTTCGTGGGGCCCGGGTTGGTTCCCCCGTCCAACCGTCAGTCTGTGCAGAAATACCTCGAGGAGAAATGAAAGTGAGCATGAGGATGAAACAGCGTGGATGGCGCTGTTTACTCCTTCTGATAATACAAAATTAAGCTCTATTGTATTGCAAGTACCTGGAGTGCTCTTAGTAATGGCCACAACGCTCGAGGGATGTGAACTTGATGAGACTTTGCGGAGGAGCCGGGGTGAAGCTGCTGCTCTTCCCTGGCAGCTGTTGTGTGCTTTCCCCAGTGCCTGATTGATGTATTGATGTTATCCATGAATGCAAACAACATGAGTGCTTGTGTTACCAAAAAATGAGTGCTTGTGTTACTAAAAAATGAGGTCAGTTGGTAAGGACCCTTGTGGGCCGCTAGACTAAATAACAGCAGAAGCAACAGAACAACAAAGGCGATTAAATTAACCCCAAGAAAGAGCTTAAAAACGAAGTTTTTGTGCTGGAGAGCTTGGAAACTGGCTTTCTGGAGAGCTGCTAGAAACACCCAAGATCATCATCAATATGAAATCAACAGAGAAAGTAACAAACTCAACACAAAACAAACAAACAAACAAAAAGACACACTGCACAACCACGGCTGAATGGACAGAAATAAAGCCAAGCAGCTTTTACTATTTTTCAGCCTCTAATTTTTTTTCCTTAAAGAACAGAGACCTGAATGGCACCTGGATGCTGAGTCAGGAACGAAGAGCCAGCATTGACTGGGGCAACATGTGCCCGTGGGCTGTGCTCCAGGTGCAGCCACAGCTCCTAACCCTCCTGCAGGACCCTCTGAGCAGGGTTTTGCTGAATTCTGTGCTCTCTCCCATGCCTGGACCTACCCAGCCCTGCCTCTGCATCACGAGCAGATTATGGAACCGTGCAGCGCTCTCCGTTACAGTTGACTCCGTGGCTTTTCATCTCAGCCCTCTTCTCAGCTCCTAATCTGATCTGCCTCTTCCAGGAGCTCCCTGCCAGTCCTCCATCCTTCCTCCCTGACATGGTGCTTTTTAACCCTGACAAAGCAGCTCATCCCTTCTGGGTTGAGAGGATGGCAATATGCCAACAAGAGGTATCTTTTCCCAACCTCTCTCTACCCTCCTCAGCGCTGCAAGTGTTTGGACAATATTTTTTTTTCTTTTTTTTTTTTTTAATAAAAAAATACTAACATGCTCATAAATCCCTACATATTCTGAATTACAGAAGCTTCCCAAGCATGTCAGCACGGCAGCAGATATAAATGCAAGCAAAAACACCGGCAGTGAAAACAAAAATAACAAAAAACACAACATCCCAACCCCACAAACAACACAAGCCCAAAGGGAGCGATTACCATCTGGTACCATGGTCAGCATTTGGATAAGGGTGGACTCTTCCCATAGCTTGCTGCCAATGCATTTCCTATGTCATTTTAGGAACAAGAAACATCTGTTGCAATCAAGCTAGTTCATCGTCCTCTTCTACTTATTGGCACCTACACAATGCTACCCCACATCACAGGAAATTTATGTCTACACCTGTGTAGGTATTTAAAATAATCCCTAAGTCCAGACAACAAACACATTAAATATATATATGTATATATGTATGTAAAAAGAGAAGTAGAAGTAGCAAATGTGAGGAACAGCTGAAGCATGGCGCTGCGCGAGAAGCAGCTCTTACAATCTGCTGTCTTTTTCTGTCTCTAGGCCACAGTAGGACTCGGAAAATCAGTTAGGAGTATGAACTCAAAGAGATGCAGGTAAGAACCTGGTTCTTATCCTGCTTGTTATCCATGCTTGTTTCCTCCTGCACCTTTGAATCCTCCACTCAAAAGAGGCAACCTGCAGGCCACAAGGCCGCTGTGGTCCCCAGGAAGCCCCAGCACAGCAGCTCTGCAAATGGCCATATTGCTTTCAGTGGCATTGCTGGTGTCAATCTAAATTAATAGTTATTTAGCTTAAAAAAAGAACAAAACAACATTTTTTTTTTTTTTTCCTTTAGAACATACATGTGCTGTGGGAGAGACATGGAGCTGTTGGTTGTGTTCAGTGGAGGGCCACAAAGATGACCCCAGGGGTGGAACACCCCTCCTATGAGGACAGGCTGAGAGCTGGGGCTGTGCAGCATGGAGAGGAGAAGGCTGCAAGGTGACCTGATTGCAGCCTTCAGTATCTAAAGGGGAGCTGCAGGAAAGAAGGGGACAGACTTTAGCAGGGTCTTTGGTGATAAACAAGGGGAAATGGCTTCAAACTTAAAGAAGGGAGATTTAGGTTGGATATAAGGAAAAAGTTTTCCAGTGAGGGCTGTGAGGCACTGGGCACAGGTTGCTCAGGGATGTGGTGGATGCCCCGTCCCTGGAGACTTTCAAGGCCAGGCTGGATCGTGCTCTGGGCGACCTGATGGAGCTGTGGTGTCCCTGTGCATTGCAAGGGAGTTGGACTAGATGACCTTTAAAGTCCCTTCCAACTCTAAGCATTCTATGGTTCTATACTGTTCTTCCTCATGGAGATATTGTCTATGCCAGGGGAGAATATATTAAGCAAGTAAGCTGTAAAGGCCAAGCAAATGGAAATAAGCAGACGTTACAGATCAAGAACTGCTGTCCTGCACACCAACTTGTGCTGCCATAATTTATTGGTTGCTGATTTAAACCAGATTATATAATAGCATGCAAGATGAAGAGAAAAGCCTTTTTTTACAAAAATATGGGTATCGCGTAGCTCAACATGAATGGCAAATCCAGATAAAGTCTTGGTGCAGTTAGCCAATGACGCACCTACAAGGATTCACATTATTTATGGCTAAAAAGCGTACAGATGACTCAACACATTAAATATTTAATTAACTCTATTTGGTAGCTTGGTTACAGCTAGAATCTGCTAAGATGCGGTAGCACAAGAGTAAACTGAGCTAGCAGGGAAACATGGAACTGTTCTACACTGAAAACATCCCCTAGCATTGAGTGAGGAAGCAGTGCTTGAATTACAATGATCAGGAGAGGACAGTAACAGTGCACAATGCTGAAATCCAATTACATTTCAAAGTTACCGGTTTCTTGTTTGAATAACTCACTGTCTGGTGGATGAAATAACCTTACTTTCAAAGGCACTGCATATACTCCACTGCCCGTGGACAGCTCTCCAAGAACATGTCCTCTCCTCCTGTAACTCAGCCCACGTTGGGTGCGTGTGGTCCCACCGCAGCACTGCGCCCACAGGAAAGGTAGGAAAGCACACCTCACAACGAGCCTTATCCTTTCTAACCAATAAATAATTTGGAAAAAACAGAAGCCTCTTGCAGTGGGATTTAGTGCTGAGTACTACATACCTTGCAACTGAACAATCTCACATTTCCATTAAAAGCAGTAACTTAATTATCCCTTTTTTTTTTTTTTTTTTTTTTTTTTAAGCATTTCGTTGACCTATTTAGATGTTTCTTCAAATCATTCTCAGAAGTCAGGATTTAGGAATTTGAAAAGCTTGGATCCCCAGTTTCTCCAATAAGAAAAGACAAGAGAAAAGAGAAGTCTAAAAACAATTAGATGCCCTGTGTGTTCTTTTTTTAAATAAAGCACAGAAATTAAAAGCAGAAGCGTATCTTGTTTTTTTAAACGCCAGCTTACCAAGATTTGTTTCCATGTTGACAAATGCACCTAACTTTTTTTTTTCCCTAGGCCTTCTTCCAGTTTATTCGTAGCATTTTACTTCAAAAAAAGAGAACTTTTTAATTTTACTTTTCACACGCCAATTTAGTGAATGTATGAACAACAGGGTGCCAAAAGTCTTGTTCTCAGACAGGTTAAGCAGAGTGTGTCATTCATTCCCAAGCATCAGTTCCTTGATTTCTTAGGAGTTTATCAGCAGGATGGCTATGGTTTGCAGCGCTGGACAAAGCGAGGGTACAGACAGACATCTCGGATGTGGTGCCGATCCAGAATCCAGGTCAGGAATCGCTCCAATCCCAAACCATATCCACCATGAGGACACGTACCATATTTTCTCTGTGAAATTAAAAACACAGAGATTAAACATTTCCTTGTTATCTATGCCACAGTTGCAGTGATATCACCAAAGCAAAAAAAAAACAAAACAAAAAACAACCCAAACATTAAAGACAAATCCCTTCTAGCACCACCTTCTGCATGACTGACGAGGAATACAGATGATGCTCTTCTCAGGTAAGGTGTTCAGTTCCCGAATTTCCTGGGGCAAAGTAAGGACTAGAAGAGGAAAATGGAAGGAGGAAGTCATAACGACTTTTTTCCAACCTCCTCCTTTTCTCCTCTCATTAAATGAGATAGAGCTATTTGAGTCTGAAAAGATCAGTGTGCTTTTATGCTCTAGAAATGTAGCACAGCAGGGAGACACTACATAAGTAGTGTACTTGCAAAGCACGGTTCAATGAAGGCAATGAAAGCAATCTGACATGAGCAGCATCCGCTTCAGCAAAGAAAAGCCATTTTAACAGAATGCAAATTATTATCCATTGCATTTTGGCCTTGGTTAAGTGACTATCTGCTTTTGGCCACAAAAAAAATCTTTCCAATTTCAACTGCGTCATCTTAGAAGTGGTTTAAGAAAATGACAAGCAGCACATTGAACCTATTTTACATACCTGATCAGTGTACCAGTAATACGGTGTGGGATCAATGCCTTCTCTCTTGTAGCCCTCCAGTAGCTCCTCACTGTCCCAGATACGCATAGAGCCTCCAACAATTTCACCAACATTAGGCATCAGCACATCAACCTACAACACACAACAGACCATACTGTTACAACTTGAGCACATGCAGGAAAGACAGCTCAAACTTAGAAGTCAACACATTCTCCTATGCAATTTCAAGTCTCCAAAGCAGAAGAAAGGCAATTTCTTCCAGACTCAATTAACCGATGGAAGAAATCAACTCACTGTGTTCCCCGACTTAATCTTTTACTGAACTGCTAAGCCACAAAAGCAGTAGCTCTCCTAACATCCACCACTCCTCCAGGCTGCCAGACAGCTAGTTTTCAGACAATAAAACCTCTAAGGAGTCACCAACCAGAGGGCAATGAAAATTAAGCTCAGAGCGATGTCTTGACATTTAAGCACTTCAGCATTGTTTCGTTTATTTCTGTAGCACCAACAAAGTCACACCAGGAGATGCTCAGAACAAATTCTGGAGTGAACTCACCAAAGTTTTCCTGTAGTACTCATTCAAGTAGATACCCCCACTCTATTTAGAAGGCAACACTATGTAAAACGTGAACTTACAGATTCTGTAAGCCGGGAATCATCGTGACAGCGCTGCATGTAGAAGGACTTGATCTCTGCAGGAAATCGGCACAGCAAGATTGGCTCATTGATGGTGTCTGTCATGAACCTCTCAGGAGCTTCAGGAATATCCTGAGGTTAAAAAAGGCTCTATTAATATTTAAAACAAAAAAACACTCCAAAACCTCAAGACCCACAGCGTATCAGGGAGGAAGTGGAAAAAGACACTTTGAGACCACATACATTCATCCTGATGTACCTGTATTTTAGAACAATTATCTTAGGAAGATCTCAAGAAACTGTATATATATACATATCTAAAAACCATACAGATCTCAAAAACAAATCTCTAAATCTGTTCAATAAAACTCAACTCTACCCAATAATCCACACAGAAAATTGGGCACAACTAACAGACACTGAACAGCTTACTTTCTTTCCTCCCTGAAACTGTTTTCCAGTTTCTGGGCCTTAAGAACAAAAACCTTAGACTGGCTGGGGTACCCCACCTGCCCCTGCAGGGCCACCCAGTGCTGTGCTCAGCACCACATCCACAGGTTTTGGAAGGAAAACTCATGATTCTAGGGTGCAAAGATTACATGGAACCCTAACTCCCCCTCCAAATTTACATTCCCCAGCGCCAGTGCAATGAGACAAAACAGTCCAGACAAAATCCAGGCCTCTTGAAGGTTTACAGCAAAGCTCATTATAAACAGGATGAGAATTTCACTCTTCATCACTCCAAGCAAAACACAACAGATTCACACAGGAACAGTGAACACAAGGGCATCACGATCCAAACACTGTTCTCCAAGGGATTTATACACCTTCAGCGTACAGCTGAGGTATTTTGTTTTTGAAGAACCTCAGAAAGACTTACTTCCCCAAACTCATAGTAAGTACCATCATCCTTCTTCACATCATGTTCCTTTAGCCACTCAATTGCCTCAGCATAGTTCATTCGTCGGAACGGACGTTTTGGGGGTTTGAAATTCTGTAAACAAGAGTAGAGATCCCAACACTTAGGAGAGTGGCGTTCGAAGATTTACCTTTCCAGTTGATCAACAAGTCCACTTCCTCAGTCAGAGCACACACAATACTCTCTGTTGTGCATCAAAAAGTTACTACTTAAAAGCTTGAAGTACGGAAAAACTAGAGCCAAACAAAAGCATCTTCCAAACCCAGCGCCTCTCATAGAACAGATGCTGAAAAAGTCAGCAGGAGACGGAAGGCAGGAAGCATTTTCAAAGCTGCTTTCTTTCTGTCTGCACTCATCACACACACTAATGTTGCAAACAGTGCAGTCTCTGCAGGGCTTCCAAAACCAAGGCCACAAAAAAGCACTTTTGCTTCCCTGTGCACTGAACTGGTGCAGAATTTGCTCTTGTGGGAAGTTCATAGTGTGGGTTACTCTTCACACCTCCTGCTCATCTGTGATCAATTTTAAAATGGAACCTCCCAGTGTTTACCAGGAAAACGGGTCAAAATGTCAAGGATGAGAGTGTATGTGTTCTGAGAGGAAAGCTGGTGACAATAGATAAGATGGCTTTAAGAGACTACCAACTATCCTTGCAAAGGCAGCAGGAGACAAAGGGTCTCTAACAAATGAAGACAGCTTTACAAAGCTTCATCTTCCAGGATAAAAGTACAACAGCAGAATTTCATTTCTCACTTGTGGGCGACCTGTGAGTACCAGTTAATCATTATTATGAGCTCTAGGATAGAGGTTTTTATTCCACTAGTGATGTACACAATAAATGCCAGCACACTGCTGGTTCCTGGACCATATCAGCCATGTTTAAATTCTTCCCCCTCGGTCCCCAGCTCCTGGAAGAGTCATTGCCAGCCTTGCAGCATTTTCATTCTTTATGTCACTTTAAATACCTCTTATATAAGCAGAGCCCACTGCTGTGCCCTGTCTCCCCTAGGTAAACAGGGTGACCAGGAAAGGTAAAGACCACACTTGTGCCCCACACACGGCTCCCACACCACTGCTCGCTTACCGGGTTGAGGTCAAGCAGTAAGCCTGATGCAGGTGATGTCAAGACTCTGTCCACTACATCACAAACTAAGCTCTCCAAACGGTTCAGCAAGTCTTCAAAACTTATAAAAGGGCATTCGGCTTCAATGTGAGTATATCTGAAACATCAGGTCATGATGTTACATGTGCATGTACATAAACATGCACAAACAACAGATTTTTAGCTATGAAAAAAAATCTTCTAAGAAAATACACAAAAACCACTTTAGTCCCCTTTTTCAGCTCTCCCACTTTTACTCTGTGAAGGAAATCAAACAAACAAAAAAAACCCAACAGTGTGAACTGTGCATTCTTAAATGACAAAGTTTCCTACAAATGCATCAGCTCTGCTTTGACCAAATCCTCAATATCAACAACCAGCTGGACAGTCACTGACAGCAGGAGTTACCCCCAAATACACTTTTGCTCAGCTGTTTCACTTTTGCATTCTGCTGTCTTCTTACTGTGCTTTCTATCATCCAGCCACCTGCTACTCCCTCAATTTAGAAATTCATTCGTGCATAAATAACAAAGAAGTACAACTCTCTCCATACTCTGCCAAGTGTCTGCGTGTCCTGGATTGCTCAGCTCTGTACGACTGAGCAATACAGAAAACGTCTCCTAGTGCTGGAATGCAGGTCTCCAGGTAGAGCTGAGATGACTGTGTTAAGTAGGCCTCTTCACCAAAATAATCCAGCTTGAACAGAGTTGAACCTCCTTCCACCTGTGTCTGAACTAATGTTGGTGGTGTGACCTGCAAAAGAACAAGAATTAAGGACAATGATGACACTGCATTACAGCAGTGACGTAAGGCCAGAATGTATGCACACAAGCACTTCATTCTGATATGCTTCAGCACCCCAGAAAGAGGTATTCATGCCATCTGTGAATCATGTTGTAACATCTATACACCTCAGAAGTGTCCATACACCTTTGAGATCTATATCTGTGAAAGCAATCACATCACGGCTCCCTATGAAATGACCTTTTCCTCCCCACTTCAGGTTAATAGGGAAATCTGTAAAGGCTTTCCAGAAAAAAGATTGCCTTAAAGTAAGGAGCTTAAAGCAGTCACTTGCCAAGAAGGGCAAATGTACTTACTTCATAATATCCATTGGCAAAGAAATGATCCCTGAAGGCCTGCACCACCATGGAGCGCACCTTGAAGATTTTGGACATATTCTCGCCTCGAATCATCATATGCCTGTTGTTAAGCTGCACATCAACCTCTGAATCCTCATTGAGGAGATTGTCAGCCCCTCCTGCTGGGGCCAGACCAATAAGCTCCCAGTAATCACAGTTCAGCTCGTGGCCTCCTGGAGCCTGACAGTTTGAAAGAGAAACAAAACTTTAACAAGTGCATTTTTCATTTCTGTCTGGCACTGTGGCAGAGACAGCAATCCAGTTTAAACAAAACATACTAAAATCCTTCTAAGCATAGTGGTATCAAAGTGACTGTTGAGTAATCTGATCATATTACCCTTGCAAATGCCATTTGGAATCCACCACAAGTCTCAGACTTAACGTGAATGGGACTGAGCACTACTGACAGATAAGTAGAAGCTTCCAGATGCATTAAGTGCTATGTTTATTCATCTGGAAGAACAGACAAAGGCAAAGGAAAACTTCTTACTACCTTCAACTAATTAATGAGTGGTTATAGAGGAAAACGGGGCAAATATCTCAAGTTGTGGGACAGGAGATTTCAATTGGCTGTAACAAAGGGTGGTGAAATCCTGGAGAATGGACCTTGTTGACCACACCATCTCCTTCTTTGGAGATGTTCATGTGTGTTTGTGAACAAGACAGTTGGCAGCCTGACCTCACATCAATCTCCAAGATGGGCCAGATGGCTTTCACAAGTCAGCACTTCACCAAAACATGAAAAGAGCAGTTTTCATGCTGGCCACTTTCCCCTATGCTGTTTGCTGCTATCTAGCAAACAGACCCCAGGGCCAGGGCTCAGTGCTGCTCTCAGCAGCACCCCCGTGTGGGTCACTGCAGGCCTTTGCCTGACAAAATGGCATCTTTTTTCATTTCAAGACCAATGATTTTTATATATTTGGTGGATCACTGCACTAGAAGCATTACAGTGCTGTGACAAGACTGAAAACCAAAATGCTTTCAGGGTATATAACATCACAAGCAGTAACAAAAAAAAGTAGTAGCTTAGAAGTATCAAATGCACAAAAACTGTCTAAAAAATGTATTTGATCCCTGTCCTGTTTGCCTGCTTTTAATTTTAGACATCATAGTTGCAAATGCCATGAAAGAAAGGAGACTGTGCTGATTTCTGACAGGCAAACACAGCAGTAGCTTTGGCAAGTGGTTGGTTGGGTTTTTTTTTTCCCTAAATCAAATTCATCCTGAAATCATTCAATGTTTCCACCTTTGCTTTTCCTCCTGTCTGACAAATGAGGAAATGTTAAAGAGGAGAACCAGAACAGAGCACCATCCAGCTCCCCTACCTGCTTGCCTTCAGGAACAAGGTTCAGTGTGCCATACACTGCAACACTGCTCTCTGTAGAGAGAAGGAGCCCGTTGTAACACTGACACTACAGAGAGAAAGAAAGAGACACAGTTAATTCTAATTTTCAGTTTTCCTGATAATAATAAGATCTATTGAAGTCACAGACAAGATATGCTTGTCATGCTGACAAAAAAAAAACCTCAAGAGTCAGGAGATACCACTTAACAACAATATAATCAGTAGGCTTAGAAGAACTTCAATTATTTAATAACAGAACTCAATCAAAAACAGGAGGGGAGTCAACTCTTTGAAAAGGTAGATAACTGCAGGACAAGGGGAAATGGTTTTAAGTTCAAAAAGGGAAGATTGAGGTTGGATGTCAGGGGGAAGTTCTTTACTGTGAGAGTGGTGAGGTGCTGGAACAACTGCCCAGAGAGGCTGTGATGCCCCGTCCATCCCTGGAGGTGTTCAAGGCCAGGTTGGATGGGGCCCTGGGCAGCCTGGGCTGCTGTGAAATGTGGAGGTTGGTGGCCCTGCGTGTGGCAGGGGGTTGGAGCTTCGTGATCCTTGAGGTCCCTTCCAACCCTGGCCATTCTGTGATTCTGTGAATATAACTTACCAATGCATCTGAAAGGACACACTGAAGGAAACCTGTGCCATCTCTCAAAACAATGAACATCAAATTTTTTCCTGGTTAAAAAGAGGGAAAAAAAATAATAGGGAGACTCAGATGTATTCACTGATCCATCTGAAAAGATCCAAGTCCAAAAAACCATCACCCACTACTGTGCAGCTTACTGCAGAAGGACCACAATTTTATTTTTCTATTAAAGACAAACCACAAGCATGTTCAAAGACAACACTGAAGTATTAGCTCAGTTATAAAATAGCAAGAGAAAAGCATGCTCCAAGCTCAGCATGGCTCGGATTGTGCTGTCTTGCCATAACTTTGCCATGGTTCAGAGAGAACCACACTTCTGTCTAATTGTAATGCTGTACACAAAGGCCCAAGCTACACCTGAAGTGACAAAGGGATGTCACCCTGGTCATCCATATCCCCACAGCAGCCTCTGACCCAAAGACTGACTTTCTAGAAAATGCCTGAGATATCCAGGTGTGTATCTGCTTGGTCAAGTCCTTGAGTGATAATGTGAAAAAATGCCATCTGTGAATGGTATCAGCTTTGTCAATGCCCCAAGGGCTCTTTTTTATTTTTTTTTATAAGCAGCCTACTAGAAAGTTTTGCACAAGTCTGTCACTTCTCAGCAAATGCCACCTTGCAAACAAGAGCACCAATTGCTCTGAAAACAAGTTTAACTTGTTGTACTTCTAAAAGAGTTTATGCCTCTTACCTAGCTTTAAAGAAAATGCTCTTTTGTTAATCATGCTGAGCAGGTGCTAGTTAGCTCCTTAGTCCGTAGGATTAGACTAAAAAACAAGTCTTTTAAGAAACCCTGTAGGACACAGCTGCAAATCCAATATCTCAAAAATTTGTGACTAAGAAATATCTCCATCCTCATACAATAGGCAGAATTTGTCAACGTTGGACTGATTGGTGTGATACACCAACAAGGCCACATAAGTGACGGTCTGAAAACTTAAGAGTGAGCATTGTTTCATTCAATGTGAGTTCTGATGGCTACTAAATTTGTTCCACCTCTCTGCAAAGGTTTGGCACCTTACAAGAGCTTGTGGCTTACCTTGCCTACGTAATCTGTGAATCCAGCCAAAAATCTTTACTCTCTGGCCTCTGTAAGCCTCCAGAGCACCAATCTTTACCTGTAAAACAAGGAATGGAAACAATCAAATAGAGGAACACAACTCACCATTTAGATGGAGTTTTCTACACAATTACTTTAAGTACACGTGTGAGACATTTCCCTCCCCAAAACAGTAACTGCCATCACAGATGCAACTAAATCAGCAGAAAATTTAGAAAGGGTGCCTCAAACACCATCTCCTGCAGTCTGAAGTGTGAGTATATCTCTCTGGATTAATTTCTAAAGACATCCCATAGATGAGACCAGGTAGAAAAGAAGCAGAAGGCACCAAAACGTGGACCTGGCAGAGGTATACCCAGATGTGTAGCTGAAGCACCAAATCCCCAAAAGCAGCAGGACTCTGCAAATAGCCAAACAGGAACTGTTTTCCACGCCTCAGTAACTTAAATTACATCCTCTGATCAGCAGTGTTTCACCGCTCTCCACTACAACAACCAGCCAAAGCAGAATTAATCCAAACTGAAATACGGCCTCTGCCAGCAGATACTGACACAAAATAGCCTGATGCATGAATCAAAATGGTTCAGATAGCCACTGGGTGCGTGGGAAAGTCTGTATGCTGGAATATACCAGTAACCAGAAAAATAAAATGATGTTTAGGGACAAGAACCCAACAGTGGCCTCCAGCAGATGCCAGAACTACAGAGCAGAGAACCAACCTTTGTGCAGACAACATACTGAAACAGAGGCACATACCAACCATCCCACATCTTACTCACACATTTTGGTTCTGGAAGACTGGGATCGTTCTTGATGATAACTTTCTTGGCTTCCTCCAGGTTCTTCTCTCTTCTCAACAGATCTTCTGCCTAGTTGAGATGAAAAAGAAAATATTAACTAATTGTGACCAGGCTTTGTAAGTAGGGGCTGCAAAGTACACTTACAAATACTGTTGTCATAAAATGCTGGTGCATAGCCTGCCCCTAATTCAAGGCCAGAATGAGAAACACTGCACAGCAGCATTTCTTGTTTTTCCCAGAAAGCTTAAACCCAACAGATGGTGATAACTCAAAGCTCACTCACTTTTACCCATTTGCTTGCCCCCATCTAAACAAGGACAAGCTGTAAATAACATACGTATAGTAATGATAAAGGTGAAGAACAAACTAAATGTTTATGGATGGGGAGAACAAAACTAATGACATCCTGTGTTTTTGTAAAGGAAAGGCAGCATGCTTAAATCATAGAATCACAAGGTTGGAAAGGACCTACGAGGTCCTCTTGTCCAACCCTCCTCCCATTACCATTGCTACCACAAGCAACTAAACAAGCTACTACCTCCAACTTGGCACCACTTGCAACCTACCTCTTTCTTCTCCTTCGCCTCATTCTTCATTTGTTCCCTGTGCCACAGTTTTTTGACATTTTTCATCTGTGACTTGGAAATAATGGCCCATCTCTAAATCAGTCCAAGCAGAGAGCAGAAGACAGAAGGTTACAACTGTGGCCCTCCACACAAATAAACTTTAAAACAATTTGTACTAGGAAGATCAAATGTTACAGTACCTCATTTTCCTTCTGTGAATCCACATAAATAGTAGGAAATGGTTCCTTTCCTGCTGTCATCAAAGCCTAAAAATGTGATGGGTAAAAAAAAAAATAAATCAGTGGTGCTGCAAGTGAATTAAAGGAATTCTGTTAGAGAGGCCAAGCAGACAACGCAGCTCCAGCCCTTTCGGTCAGAGCTGAAAAAGTTCATGCAGCTCAGATAAAAGAGTGCATTTGCTGTACTTACCTTTAAAACAGTTTTGAATGGTTTCTTCTGCGTTCCATCACCAGTGGAATCGTTGCCCTCTCGTTCAGAAACATACAACTCTTCTGTAACACATCATAAATACCGGGCAGTTACTCAAGGAAAAACCAAAAAATCAGCAATGGTAAAGCACAAGAGAAAACCAGACACACCCAGGGATGCACATCAGGACTGATGGAGCTGCCTTCTGCCTTCCTTACAGCCAACTAACTTCCAGGCAGGCAGGAACAAGCTGAGAAAGCTCGGACAGCTCAGGCCAGCTTTTGGCTCATGCACAGCTAACAACTGCATCACCAGAGATGGAAAAACCTCCCTCCCTCTGCCAGCAAACACCACAGAGTGAGACAGCCCTGCAGGCACAGCCCTGTCCACGTGCCAACTGTTACAGTGTGAATCACAGAATCTAGGTTGGAAGGGACCTCAAGGATCACGAAGCTCCAACCCCCTGCCACACGCAGGGCCACCAACCTCCACATTTCACAGCAGCCCAGGCTGCCCAGGGCCCCATCCAACCTGGCCTTGAACACCTCCAGGGATGGACGGGGCATCACAGCCTCTCTGGGCAGCTGTTCCAGCACCTCACCACTCTCATAGCAAAGAACTTCCCCCTGACATCCAACCTCAATCTTCCCTTTTTCAACTTAAAACCATTTCCCCTTGTCCAGTAGTTATCTACCCTTTCCAAGTGTTGACTCCCCTCCTGTTTGCAGGCTCCCTTTAGGTACTGAAAGGCTGCCATGAGGTCACCCCGCAGCCTTCTTTTCTCCAGGTTGAACAAGCCCAGCTCCCTCAGCCCATCTTCATAGGGGAGGTGCTCCAGTCCCCTGCTCATCTCTGTGGCTCCTCTGGACCCTCTCCATCAGCTCCCTGTCCTTCTTGTACTGGGGGCTCCAGACCTGGACACAGCACTGCAGATGGGGCCTCATAAGGGCAGAGTAGAGTGAACGCTTGTGTCCAAGGTTCCACGGTTTGGTTCCAGTTCACAGAGATCAGAGCACACCAAGGGCTTCTATATACTCCTGCGCTTATGCACACAGCTACAGCTGTACCTATGTGTGTGTAGCTATAGGGATAGATAGCTGAGCATGTATAGTCATCCACAGACGTATGCTCTGCTCTTTGTTCCTCGTGAACTGCCAAAATCCGCGTTAGAAGTCCTGGGATGGACAGAAACGCATTATTTGCTCAACTACTGTCTGTTCACTTCTTATTTAAACGCCGCAGAACAATTCCAGGCTGAAAAAAACCGAGCTGCGTGCGTGACACGCTGCCACGACGCAGCCGCCGGCAGGGTTCCGCTGCGTCCCACACAAAGTCACCGTATTTGGCGCAGCTGTGACAATTTTCCCTTCCAAGAGCCGAATTCTTCACATGCCAAGGCCAGGCCGCTCCCAGGGGCGCCTTGCCGCCCCATCGCTGCGCGTGCTCAGGGCCGGCCCGGACGGGCCTCCGCAGCCCAATCCTCCGGGAAGCCCAGCGACCGCGCCTCCAGGCGGCCGCCGCCATCTTCTGCTGAGTGCCCGACAGCCCCCCACCTCCCCGACCGCCCCGCCGCCTCACCCAGCGCCAGAGCCGCCGTCCTGCCGATCACCTCCCCCGCCATGGCCGCCGACCGGAAGTAGCCGCACCGCGCTTCCGCCGCTCTACGCCAAATCGCCGCCGTTAGCGTCAGCCCCGCCCCACGGAAGCCACGCCCACTCGCGTAGCCCCACCCCCGCGTAGCCCCGCCTTCTCGTTGGCACGCGGGTTGCCCACACGTGATCAAAGTTCAACTCTTCTTGGGGTTTTTTTGCCTATTAGAATCGCGGAGTAGAATGGCTTAGGTTGGAAGGGACCTTTAGGATCATGTAGTTCCAATCCCCTGCTAGAGGCAGAGACACCTCCCACCGCTCCATGTTGCTCACAGCCCCATCCAGCCAGGGCTTGAGTGTTTCCAGGGACGGGGCACCCACAGCCTTGCTGGGCAACCTCTCAGAAAAGAATTTCTGCCTAATATCTAGTCTAAAGCTACCCTCTTCCAGTTTCTTAAAAAAAGAAAAAAGTCTGTATGTTCTGGAGACAAAGGTGATCTTGGCTTCAAATTTATGCCTTTTGTACTTTTTGTATTTTTGCACAAAAATACCTTTAAAAAGCTGATTCTAAGTAAGTCCATCTGAAGAAGAACCCTTCCACTTACTTGTGCTGGAATAGCAGCAGTAACACACGTTTATTTATCTGACTTTACCATGAGAAATAATAAGCACAGGCTAAATCTTGGCAGTAGGACAAGCAGGAAGGGATGTGAGTTACAGTAAGGAAATTCTATGAGATACTAGGAGAAATATTTTACCCTGAGGGTACTCAGCTCTTGTAACAGAGACACAGAGAGGGCGTGGGATTGCCATCCTTGGGTGTATTCCATGTGCTGGACAAACACTGGACATCTGGTCCTTCTCTGAGCCCTGGACTGCACTACAGACCTCTAGAAATCCTTTTGAAGTGAACAACTGTAACAACGAGTGACAGCAAAGTGTATAGCCACTGCAATGTCACAGGAATGATGAATGGATCTTACTACTTAGAATTAATTTCCAACTGCAACAGGCCTTGTACCGAAATGCCTTATCAGAGAGTACAGCCTGAAAGCCCAGCACCTGCCTTGTTGGTTTAGCTAGCTACAAAACACCACATTTGTGTTTCCAGTAGCTGTCTATTCCCCAGCATTGTTTATGCCTTCAGAGGTTATTATCAAACTTAGAAATTACTTATCTTTTGCTTTAGCATCTGCTTTGATTTTTTTTCTTGAGCTAAACGCTAGAATTTCCCGTTGCTGCAGATAGGAATATTGAGCCCCGTCCCTGGGGCTGCGTGCCCTCTCAATGGGGACTGCCCCCCGCTGATGCCCGCTGATACCCATATGTATCATAGAAGAGAATCTGAAAACTTCACTGCATTTATTTGCATCACGTGTTTGAAATGTACATTCCTTTGGACAATAACTGCGTACCATGATTTTCACTATAAAAGCATTGGAGGAATCGTCCTCATCCGGAGGCAGCAGTAGGTAACAGCTGCACATTCATACAAACGAGGGAATACACCTGCAAGCACAGAGATCACAAAACACTTTGCACACTGCAAGAATGGTGCGTGATACCTTTCCTACAGCGGCCGTTTTCTGGTTATAACAGTGACAGCTGTACCTAAAACCGAAAAGAGCAAACTGCCAGCTAAGGGCAGAGCTCCTGGGACAGCCATCCATTAACAAACACACGGCGTGAGAAACAAGACCTGAGCAGAAAGACAGCAAGTGAGAAACAGACCTGTAATGATGGATTTGGATTTCTTCATTGCAGGCAAATTTGAGCAATGAGCTGTGCAAGGCACTGTGGCACAGCTCTCGTACAACGAGTGCAAGGAGAGCTGCTCCATGCCGTGCAGCGAGCTGCAGTCAGACACCGAAGGAATAACAAACAGAAACACCTGCAAGCATCAGAACACCTCAGTCTGACACTGACTACAGGTTTGTCACCAGATGTGTACAGCTCAGGTGACAGTATCCATGTCTCTCTCAGGAGTGATCAAACTCCTGAGTCTTTATCCCCATAAAACGTAACAAAATGGTGCACACAGAGTCACTGTTGCTTAACCATTTGTTTTCAGAGTCAATATGAAATGTAGCTGCAATTTTATACCAATACAATGTTAAAAATGTGGAAAAAAGTTTTTGATTCCAGGTGTCGCCACATTGCTCTTTCCATACTGCAGCACACCCGTCCTTCAGTTTCACATTACACAGCTGAAAAAGGTTTAGGAGCTCTGTAGGACGTTGTTGGCTTTTCCATGCTTCCAGCAAACTGAAGGAGTTCTGATAAAGCACAAAAATCAGATATCCTTATGCCATTCAGTTTAAAAAAAAGTATCCTGAGTTTAATATTCTGAGTGTGTGTGTGTGTGTGTGGGTGTGTGTGTGGGTGTGCAGTCATTTGGATAAGAAACTTCTCCAGAACTGCAGTGAATCAGCTTGTTTCAGCAGCTGCTGTGCCTCCTGTGGTGCTGCCCAGCACTGCATCCAGTGGAGCTCTTTTCTTGCGGATGCTTCGCCCCGAGGCGATGAGGTCGGCGTATCCCCTCTGGTGGGAGAAGGCGTAGGCAGAGCGCCGTGCAGACACCCCCCGCCGGAAAGCACTCTGCCTCCGCTGCCATTGCTCCTCTTCTGCCAGGTACTTCTTACGGTTCTTCTGGATCTGCGTGCATGCAAAGAGAAATAAATTTGTGGGTCGTAAGGCAAATGACTTGTTTTGTATTTTTTTCTTTTTTTTTTTTTTAGAGCGGAAACAACCTGATACTTTAACAGAAAATGCTTAGCAGGAAGGTTTTCTTGTTTAAATTTGATTCTGTTAGAAGCAAGAATACATGCAGAAACGCATGGAATTTTCAGAATGACCTACTGCATCGTTTTGCACTTTGTTATGTTCATTTATTTTTAGAATGTCTTTCATTAAAGCAAATTGAAGATGCACTGATTGAAAGCTATTCTTGTGTTTTCACACAGAATCACAGAATGGCCAGGGTTGGAAGGGACCTCAAGGATCACGAAGCTCCAACCCCCTGCCACACGCAGGGCCACCAACCTCCACATTTCACAGCAGCCCAGGCTGCCCAGGGCCCCATCCAACCTGGCCTTGAACACCTCCAGGGATGGACGGGGCATCACAGCCTCTCTGGGCAGCTGTTCCAGCACCTCACCACTCTCATAGCAAAGAACTTCCCCCTGACATCCAGCCTCAATCTTCCCTCCCTCAACTTCAAACCATTTCCCCTTGTCCTGCTGTTACCCATCCTTTCAAAGAGTTGACTCCCCACACTAACACTTAATATCTTTTTAGACATAACTGCAGTATTAACTATTTGCAAACTCACATGCAATTTGCCAGCTCAAGGCAGAATAAACGCAAACAAAAATTGGCCACTATATCATGACACATAACTGACACTCCAAAACAGTGCAAATAACAAGAGAAGCTGTGCTGTCAGTAGCCTCAAAGCAAGTTTTGTGGTTTTACAAAGAGAAGTGCTAGGCCAAGCCAAAGAACAGATTAGCCACTGATCAGTTTACTGATCTGTAGGCTGAGATGCTGCATGTACATATGCATTACACAGAGGCACATGAGGGACGCAACAACATGTTGAATAAGGCAGTGTTTGTCACACAGTTGGAGGCAGGCCTGAGCCAGCCCCTGGAGAGCCCAGCAGCCTCCTGGCCTCCAGCCTAGGGCACAGACCCCAGCTTGTTTCTCATATTAACACCAATGCTGATGCCTGTAAGTAAATATGTGCCAAAGATGAGACTTTACTCACTCGATCACTTTCTGAAGGACAAATTGTCATGGATAAGAAACGCTGTGCCACCACAGGGAGTAAGCAAACAGCGATCGTTAAAGCCATGGTCAGCCAGAGGTACAGCTGTCTCAGAGCGTTTGGAGCAGTTCCTAGCAATAAAAGGAGCAGAATTTAGTGTATGATGTGATTGTGGAAAGTAGCTACACAACACAAATAAGATAATGAGTGCCACAGCTTCTTTCCTGTGAAGCTAGCACCCAGGCACTGACCTGTGCAGCAAAACGTTCAGCTTTTATTCAGGCTCCAAAATAAATAAGTAAAATAATACAAAGTTATTGTAGCACTACTATTACAATTCACACCCACGTCAAAACTCCTCTACAAGCTGTGCGATGCTGCAAGACAAATGCCTGGCTGAGAGGCAAGGGTTTTGTCCTGCTTTAAAGGTTACAAAGCAAGAAGTTCTCCTGGTATCACTGCTGCAGATGTGGTCTGGAAAGCAAGTGATATTTCAGTACAAATGCCAAACACCCAATCTCACAGAACTTTTGTCAAACTGAGTCGCAGGTGTATCTTTAAACACACATAAAATACCCAGCTAGGAAGTATTCATAGAAGTCTAGAACGTTACTAAAGTTAAAAGAAAATATTATGTTAGAGGCAACTACCTTTTTTCAATTGGATTCAGTTTAGCAGAAGAACATAAAATTGAGGGGTGTGTTATTTCTTTTGAGGTTATTTAGATCTGAGGCAAGATACTAAAGATTTTAGAAAAAAATTCAAAACTTGGTTTTCCTAAAAATGAAAAAATTCCAAACAAAGGGCAAGACACACAAAACACTCACCTGTGAACTGGAAAGTAGAAGGAAAGAGAACATGGATCCCTGCACTGTGGAGGTCAAATGTGACACCAAAGTAAATTGCAATACTCCCAAATACTGAGAAAGCATTAACAAAAGTCCAGTAAGATGTATCCAAACCAATCTGAAAGTAAACGAAAACTCCAAATGAGTTTATTAATTCAAAAAGCAAAGACAGGACAAATAATGTTGTTATTTGTCATTCATGTAATAATGTCATTCAGTTACACTTCAGCTTAAGATACATAATGTCAACAGAGAAGCAAAAAGGCAAGCAGATGAAAACTTCTGCAAATTGTTTTGCTTTAATAGACAAAATTAGAAACACGACCAGAACGTGTTTTCAGAGCAAGGGAAGTAAGGAAGCTAAAGCTTACTTGCCTGAAGGTTGACAACAAACACAAGAGAAGTTGCTGCTGTGACAGCAAATGACTGATAATCTGAAGGTGCCTCTCCATCTTGCCCCATAGTGTGAAGGTAAGCTCCATA